AATCGAAGTGGGTGCGCAGTTCCTAAATGTATTTAAAGTATTATCTTACACAGATCATAATACATTTTCTGATAGACATGTACACATGTACACTTAGTGTCTCTAAAAAGGAACGAAACTACCATGAGACATTAACATTGCGTGCCGGTTAATCGTTTTCGTTCATTTAAGGAGACATTGAAGTCTGAAATCGTTCGTTCTGCTAAGTTTTGTAATTAATGTTTTTGTAATAGTGTTTTTTGAAAGTTATGTCTTACACTCTACAAGTCTTCCAAATAAACGCTTTGTTACTTACGATGAAGTTTGAATAATGTAAATAATACATAAAGGATTTATTCGTAATACTACAACTGGATCCGTTGGTGTATCGAATTATATTTTGAAGAAATGTAATTGTATATTACAAACAAGTTGCGTGTTTGTGACTACAGACACAAAAATTGTTTTCCTCGCGGCTAGAGACAGGCAGTTTATTTCGAACTCGTACTGTTTTACAAATCAGTGTTGCTTATGATGGAGGTTCGAAGTTCGCCGTAACGTACCAACTGCTCCTTCGTAATATTTTTATACGGTGTAAATATGGACTTCGTTTTTGCGTGGACGACGTCCACGACAACGCCCTCTCCTCCAATTCTTCCTCCCCTCCCTGCGTCACCGCTTCTCCACTTCATCCTCCCTCTCCCCACTCTCCCCCTCTGGTGAAGAGGGCAGGGATTGGGAGAAGGGGGGTGGGAGCAGAATATCCCTGATGATCAACCCTGGGGCCACCTCACTCTTGTATATAACGGAGGGTCACGAGCCATGGGAATCTAGTTTCAGTTTTGGGTCTAAGAGCAGAGCAGCAGCAGCAGCAGCAGCACACAGCAGCGACAAACATGGCAGTTAACGCTCAGGTATGACTTTTGGGTCCTGGACTTGTGCGACTTTGTTTAATGGATAATCAATTTATCACCAAAATTGTGTTTACACGTGTTCTATGGCCCTTGTCACATGAAACTAACGATCAACTGACGGGCAACCATCTGCCGACCAACTGGCGATCGATAGTTTAATGTTCGAGGGGTCCTCCACTTCCAAAATAGGTGTAGAACGAGTTGGTGAGTTGACGAGTTGCCGCTTGTAGGGCATGAGTTGGAATCAATTTTGAGAGAGTTTTGCGCTATTTTTCGCAAATTTAGCGCGACTTTTCACAAATTTTTGCGAGTTTTTGCCAGTCTTTTTGCGATTTTTCGCGAGTTTTTGCGAGTTTGGCGGAAGTTTGACGTGAGTTTGGTGCGGGCAACTGTACAACGAGTTGGCTAGTGGGGGACCCCTCGTAAATGTTACAAGGGCTAGAAATGAAAACTACGTAAGAAAGGCTATTCTAGTGCGTAACTATATCTTAAATTTGGTTGACAAAATACCTAAAAGAAAATTTGTGCAAGTCCAAAAAATTTAATACACTGGTAATCTGATTTTATATATTGGTCGTTTGTTAACGTTTGTAGAAAAACAGATATTTTCCCTTTTCTCAACTTACACAAGTAACTTGGAGTACTCACCGTATAATTCATGGTATTCTTATAAGAAGTTTGAAGCGCTAGGAAGAGTCGGTGGTCTAGGATATAAATTTTCTGAAGACGCCAAACGATAGGTGCATCGTTTGCCGATTTCGGTAAAATGGTATCTTGAGCCTCCGATATTTCCTGCAACTGAGTCTTTCTTAGCAGCCCCAGGAAGATATCGATATTTGTTCTTCCAGTACGTGTGTCGATAATTTCGCTCATGACAAAAAGCTTACTATAAGGCTGCCACCCACTTGCATTGACTTGGGATGACATAGTCGTTGCGGGGGCGTTAGAGGTCGAAGGTCCTAGCCGGCTGGGTGTTCATGTGGTCATGCGCTGTGCTCTGCCTCTGGTGGGTGTGATATTGTTAGCTAACATTGGATTGTGTCGGCAGTTGGGGTGGCATTTACAAAATTGCCGCCCTTGATTGTTAATTGTGGCTGTGTATCGTGAATGGAGTGGTCGCCTGCTCTCGCGGGCCACGGGTACCGCCCTGCCCTGCCCTATGGGTTTTCATGAAGTAGTGATATTGTCTGAGTTATGATCTGCTCGTCCGTCGCCGCCCGCTTTCGACACGTGGTTGGCGTTCACGACGAGCCGGGGCGGGGCGGTGCGGGTAGCGCCACGGGGGAAGGAGCGGGCCCCAGTGACTAATCTCTGCTCCGCCCAATCGCACCTTGAATATGCCTCCTCGCCATTTTTTCCTTTTCACTTTTAGTTTTCAGTTTCAAACAGATATGTGTTCTTCATATACAACAACAAAAATTGGTTCATTCCTAACGAATAGCTCTCCGTATTACGTACAGCCACACTGCGTCCGCTGTGCTACACCCGCGGTACGTTACGAACCGAATTCTTCGTGTTAGGTCTTTTCGTAAGGAACCAAGCGTGTTCGTTGTGATTTACTCACACTAGCCATGTACGGAATAAATCCTTCACTTGATTACATAGTTGATAAATTTATTAATTAATTTACTAGATAGAAGATAGATACAAGATAGAACTGGATGATCCAAGTGGATTCTACGTGACGTGACAGTTCAACATGAATTCAACGTTTCATCCACCAAAATTTATCTTTAGGATTGGAGACCTGCCTCTGCTGCATTGATGACGTGATTGTATTTTTCTATCTGCTTGTGACTCGGTGTCAGCAGCTGGTGGCCGTGTGTGCCATGGCCGCCCTCCTTCACTGCGCCACGTCGGCCCCTGCCTACAACCACGGTGGCGCCTTCTTCAACAACGGCGCCTACAACAACGGCGCCTACAACAACGGCGCCTACAACAATGGTGCCTACAACAACGGCGCCTACAACCCGGCCTTCGACGGGGGATTCAACACGCCAGCGCAGTACAACTTCGACTACCGGGTGGCTGAGCCTCGCACGGGGGACTACAAGAACCACCAGGAGAGCCGCAACGGGGACGCGGTGCGCGGCAGCTACTCCGTGGCCGAGCCCGACGGCTCGCTGCTCACGGTGCGCTACGCGGCGGACGACGCGCACGGCTACACGGCCCAGGTGACCCGCTCAGGCGCCGGCGGCACCGTCGTCCAGAACTTCCCCGGCGCCGCACCGCTGCCCGTGGGCGCTGTTAACAGCGGCGGCTACGTGGCCCCCGCCGTCGTGGCCCCTGTGGCCGCCGCCGTGGCCGCCGCGCCGCACGGTGGTGCCCACGGTGGTGCCTACGGCGCTGGGCTCGGCGGCTTCCCTGCTGGCTTTGGAGGCTACAATGGAGGCTACAACGGAGGCTACAATGGAGGCTACAACGGGGGCTACAACGGGGGCTACCAAGGAGGCTTCGGCACCAGCTCCACTTCGTTCCACGGGCCGCATGCCGCCTACTCGTACACCAACTGATTACTCCTGCTGCTAGGTGTCTGCTGTCTAATAAAAAACAGAAAAAAACACTAAAAAAGCGAGGATCTATGTGTATCTTAGCCCTAGCCGATTGTGCCCCTCTGTATTCTTACGCTGTTCGTGCGGCGGCGGCAGATGGGTTGCCTACCCGCCCGGCTCGCCTTGCCCTCGCTCCTCCCACCCCACCTCTCGCGCTCCCGTCACGTCGGATGTCTCACTCGCCGCTTGACTCCAGAGAGTGACAGTTGGCCGCGGGCATAACATAACACAAAACTATAGCTCATGCGGTGACACTCTTTCCTTTCGACGTCGAGAGACGTGTGTGTGACTAGACTGGGGTTTCCCAAGGAGCCTTGCGTCCCTCTTGCAGTCGCATAAGCCGCCCAGCCCAGTGGGGCGTCCTATGCACCCAGCCTTGCCATTTACATGTTTTTGGACTCCAAAAAGTATGTCACAACTGACAAAAAAAAAAGGCACAAGCATTCATTTCGTACTGGTCCTGTCCTCGGGATTCACCTTCCGCTTGGCGCAGTGTCGCTTGATTTGGCTGTCTACTCTCGCCCTCTCCGGCCTCGGGCGCGGCCAGGCCAGTGGAAGAGGCAAAACGCATCTGGCCATACGTTGTCTGAATGCAGCGAGCAGGGCTCGGCAGCAACAATTTTTTTGCACAGTATGCTACACCCAGAAAATATATTTGTCATTAGAATCAAAATACAGCTAAAGGAAGAAAATCTACTATGAGACCGCAAGAAAAATGTTGACCTGATTATATTTTGTAGAACGAAAATATCATGAAACCAATCACCCCATATATCAACAGTACTAAATCATGTTATCCACACGACAAAAGTTTGGTTGGCGGAACTAACATTTTGTTGGTTTCATTGACAGGACAGTCTTATTTTGTTTCGCGGACAATACGGTTCTCTTAGTGCGGTACTGTCAGAATCACTCTGTTCTGGAGAAGGATTCAAGATCGTTTCGTTTTGCGGTAACCATCCATCGCCTTGTTTTCGTGCACAGCAAACCAACCTTACATCAGTAGGATTTTTTTGCACCTTTCACTCATCTTTGTCTCGCAACATAAACACTGATAAACACTGATCCACAAAATCGTTGAACCCAAATCGATATCCAAGTCCTAGCGCGGCGCCTCTACTCTGTCAGTGGTGAGCCCCTGTTGCTTGCAGATCCCCGCCACTTTGGCGTGCTGAAGATTCCTCGCATAATAAGCGCCACGCCCCATTGCCCCCCGCCACGCCCGGCGGGTTTTTATTTTTGAATCTCGCGCCGCGCGCCCCTGCGTGTGCGCGCACCGCCACCGGCGGCTACGAGTGCCTCGGCGAGTGCCTCGGCGAGTGCCTCAGCGAGTGCGGCCGCGCCCCGCCTCGTCCCGCGGCGGCCGTCCGTGAGGGGAATACGTAAACAAGTGCTTAGGGCCGCGTGTGGAAAGCCGAGCAGGGGGTCCAGGACGGGCGCTTGTGGACGCAGCCCGCCGCCGCGTGGTGGACCTGCCTCAAGGCCAAGTTCAGAGCGCAGGGACCGGCCTGCAGGGCCTGCAGGCGGAGCAAGTGCTCGCCAGCCAGCTCTGCCTTTCTGAGCGACGGTGCGACGTTTCTTTTGGAGTCCGATTTGGGGCGCGCACTATGCTTCGCTCTCTTCTGAAGGCACTAACTCAGCTGGCAAAACACATCTATAGGCCATCTCATACTGTGCAAGTAAAGACCCAATCCGCACCGCGATGTGATTAGATTATTTGCTTTTTGATTATTTTTGTCGACAAACTTTAGGGTGTGCCGAGGGAGTCACGATTACGAGAAAAGTTGTGTCTTTTTTTCACGAGTCGACTTAAAATTTTTGAATTGTTGCAGCTTTTACTTAAAGTCGATTACGAGAAAAGTGGTGTCTCTTTTTTCCCCGCGTCTCATGTATACCCGCCCTAATCCTACAGATGGAAGTGTAATCCCTACGTAATCCCTATGCAATCCATGTAATACGTAACCAAATTTTGAAAACTATCTCAATATTTCACCTAATTATTCAAATGTATGGTTTTAGCACCTGAAATTCCACAAAATTCTCGTGTAAACCCTCAAAATTTACGTGTAATCCCTTTAACTACGTAATCCCGTGTATATATCATAAAGCGCGGTGGAGGCCTCCTCGAAGTGCTTACGGAGTGGTCTGCAAGTAGTGGACTGCAGGATCGTTGTTGGACTGAATTTTGATCCCGATCATGCCAAATTCATTTCGGCGATGATGATGATGATGCCTCTCTTCCTGCTCCTGTTTCTCTTTTCCTCGTTCCTTCTCGCACGTGAGTCACCTGCTCGCTGGGTATCATTGGGCAGTCGCACGCCCAGTGGGTGCCAGTAGCGCCGTGGACACGACGCCGAGGTCGCGGACGCGTTGCGGCGCTGGAAGGGGGAGGGGGGGTGGGTCCCATCGCGACGCACCCATATCGCAGCCGGGACATGACAGACGCGCACACCAGACTCAATTATTCGTCATACACGAGGTGTGTGAGCGAGACGGCGCGAGGTGGGGACGGACGGCGCCCCTGGCCGCCCGGCGGCGCCTCGCGGGCCTCGCGGGCCTTGCGGGTCGTCCCTCCACTCTGTCTCTGTCTCTCTGGACGCCGACGCCGGCGAGACTGACACACACGCTGAGGTTACTTAAAGCGTCGCGTGTCGGTACGTCCCGGCAGAGCGTCCCTCCGAGGCGAACAGCGAACACGAGCAGAGCATGGAGCACCGACAGGTAGGTGTGGCTGGCGACGAGCCGCAGCCTCTGTTGGACGCACACGTACCAAGAAAATGTTTGTGCATTCACTATTTGTTGCTACCGCGGCTGCCTTGCTCATGTCCTCCTCCTGCTCGCAGACAGTCCTGGTGGCGCTGCTGGCGGCGCTGCTAGCGATCAGCTGCGAGGCCAGCGAGCCCTTCGACCCGCACCCGCAGTACGACTTCTCGTACGCCGTGAGCGACGCGTTGACGGGCGACTCCAAGACGCAGCGCGAGCAGCGCGTCGGCGACCAGGTCGTGGGTCACTACTCGCTGGTGGAGCCTGACGGCAACGTGCGGACCGTCAAGTACACGGCTGACGCCGTCCACGGCTTCAACGCCGTGGTGGAGCGGACACCGGGCCTCGCCCCCGGCGTGGGCTTGGTGGCCGCGGTGCCCGCCGTCGTGGCGGTGACGCCACCCGCCCCGCAGGTTGTGCACGCCGGTGATCCGGACACCATCAGCATCAACAGCGCGCTGCCCGACATCGACGTCAGGGTGGAAGGGCCACCCCAGGCCCAGGGCCGCGTCGGACTTGCCGGCCTCGGACTCGCCGGGCCCCAGCAGGCAGCTGCACGTGCACGCGCCCTCGAGGCTGCCGGCATCAGCCCGTCGACGGGCACGTCTGGGACGAGGTACGCAGCCGGGCCGTTCCAGGCCGCGACCGTCTACGCCACCGGTGCCGGGGGAGGATACTCGACGGCCCTCCCGGCTGGCGCGGGCCTTTCCGCCGGATACCCTGGCCCTGCAGTCGGGTACCCCGGTGCGTTCCCGGGCGGTGCAGGATACCAGTCTGGGGCAGGGTACTCGGCCGCCTACCCAGGTCCGGCAGGTTACCCGTCGTCTGTCGGAGGATATGCCTTACCTGGACAATACAACTCTGGCTTTGGCAGCAGCCTGAACCCCTCGCTGCTTGGGCAGAGGGGCCTGGCTGGCCTGTCGAGCGGTGGCTACAATGGCGGCTATACTGGCAGCTACAACGGCGGCTACAACGGCGGCTACAACGGCGGCTACAACGGCGGCTACACCGGCGGGAGCCAGGTAAACCAGCAGCAGCTGTTACAGCTGCAGCAACGGGAGCAGCAGCTGCGTCTACAGGGCTACGGTGGCGTGGCGACCCCCGGTCTTTACGGCAGCAGTCCCATCGGAGGAGCCTACAATGCCTACGGCGGCGGGCTGCAGAGCCCAAACAGTCTGTACGCCAACGGCGGCCTCCTAGGATACGGCGCACAGCAGCAGTCAGCGCGTGGCTTCAACGGCGTACAGAGCTACAGCGGCCTGCAGGGCTACAACGGCCTGCAGGGCTACAATGGCCTGCAGGGCTTCAATGGCGTGCAGGGCTACAACGGCCTGCAGGACTACAATGGCCTCCAGGGCTACAACGGGGTGCAGGGCTACAGCAGCCTACAGGCGAATAACGGTCTGCGGAGCTATCAGCAGCAAGCCCAGCAGGCCCAGCAGGGCTACAACTTCCAGGGGTACCAGCCGCTGTCGCGGGGCGTGGGCTTCAACTTCCGGGGCTACCAACCTACGGCAGCGCAGCAGCAGGCATCTGTGGGGGTGCAGCAGGGTGTCGTCGGCTCCAGGTCCGCCAACCCCTCAGTGGCGCGCAGCTTGGGTGGTTACGCTCCGGGCTACGCCCAGGGCTACGCTCAGGGCTACCCAACTTATGGACTTGCTGACAGCCTTAGCGCCAGCCTGAGTGGCCTCAGCCCGCACCAGCAGCGGTCTCTCGGCATCGTACCCCAGGAAAATCACTCGGCCCCACCCTACCCTTGAGAATGTGCTTTGGTGGGAAAGAGCGATTTTAAAAATCTGCTGATTCTGTTGACTATGTTTCCTGTTGGCAAGTATGCCACGCCAGGTCCTGTACTGATGAATGTAAATTTGTTACTGAAAATGACGAATAAAATGTGATATGATGTCTTGTCCACTCTGTAGCCCTTGTTGGATTTATTTTTCCTAGTCTTTTTCTCACACCATGCATTAGTTTGGAGAAATTTCGCCTTCCGTTTGGTTTTTACGCAAAATCAAAGGCCAAATTTCAGCAACCAGAGTAACATTTCTCACTGCTCTTTAGGGGTTAACCCCCAAAATTGGAGAAAAACTTCGTTAAGAGGACTTGCGAGTGCTAGCTAATTGTGGTACTTCTGATGACTCGCCGGGAAATCGAAAGAACTAGGGCCTATGCCTAGATACATCGGAAGAGGCTAGATCAAAGAACACGTACTGCTTGTCGACGTGTCGTATCCTATCATCTCACGGGACGGCGTGAGGCGCGGTGAATCACCCCGGCCCGACATTAACAATTACCCGTGTGTTTCGTGTGTTGCAGGTAAGACGTGCCGGCCTAGCCCGAGGGACGGCACTGGCCCTGGCCTTGGCACTGGCATTGGCCGGTGCGGGTGGCGGGTGGGTGAGTGAGTATACCGACCGCGAAATGATCTGGACACGCACGCGTCAGGTCAATCCGTATCAGTCCGTTTATTTATATCGACAAAGCAGACAGCCCCCACACCCCACACAGTAACACATCATTTGTCAGCGGTGGCCAGGCCACCTTTTATTATCATTCGTGGTTTGCACCAGTACTACCTTCAAATAGTTAATATTCCGCGAGAACCATTCTGTCAACTGGTCGAGTCTGACAGTCTTTGATTGTGGTCGATTTACTACGTAGCGTGTCGGGCAATTTTGATAACAATCGCTTGCGCAATCTGAGACTTCCAGAGATAAAAAACAAAAAACAAAAATACTTTTATACATCCTTTTAGAATTGTTTTAAGGTTTCCGTCTTTAAATTGTTGAGCGGTTCCGTGTAAAAGATTTGCTGTTTACAGAAATTGTAATGATTACCTTCTATTCACTGACAGCACTAGCTGACGGTGTACTGCGCGTAAGGCGAACTGAACGTGATGAAATTTCCACCCCCTTGTACTCCCGACGATGTTCGGTATACGGCCAGAGTGCGTTGATGTGGGCTGACTCGCCCCGACTGTAGCACCCCACCGTCGAGAGAGCGCACCTGGCTCTGCGGGGACAGGGCTTGACCCTGCTCCGGCTTTTGTACTACCGAGTGCCTCACGTCGATTACCTGTCAAAAGGGGTTAAGCAAAACATTACTATCTAAGATCATCTCTACCTCTGGGAAAAATGGGTATAAATTATTTTATTTTACCTGGGGTAGAGAAAAGCCGCTACTTGATTCGTCCTGCTGCTGAATGACGTTCTCTTGCTGCTGACTGTCTATGTCCTGCTGCTGACTAACGCCGTCCTGTTGAACGACGCTTCCCTGCTCTTGGCTGATGCTCGTCTGCTGCTGAGTGACACTGCCTTGCTGGTCCTGCAGAATGGATGACTGCTGATCTTGCTGCTGCTGCTGCTGTTGCACCGGCTGGGCGTCTTGAAGGCCCTCCCGTTGTTGCTCCATTTGCTGAGCGGAGTTCATCGCCTGTTTCTGGGGCTGTGGGGCCAAGAAAAGTTGTCCTTGCTGCTGTGCTTGGATCATAGCCTGCACCTGAAATAGTTACAATCATGGCAGTTAAATATTCCGTTTACTTTGTGGGGGTTAATCTAGGAGGAAGTTTATTAACTACCTGTTCTTGCTGCTTTTTGAACTGCTCCTGCTGAACTTGAAGGAATGCCATCTGAAACGTTCAACAAACAAAAAGTAAACAAATGTTAACAATTTTATCTATTTTCTAAATATTGCATTCTAAATAGAATATTACATGTTGCTGCTGAGCATCCATGTTGCCTTGGTCCTGAATCTGGACGATGGGAACAGTCATCTGGTGGTGGGTTCCCACCCCAGAAGGCGACAGCTGAACACAAAGAACGTTAAAGTTGAGTGCTTTCACACCATATTTGAATAATATGGTTTTCTTTTTATAATAAGAGTCCAAGTAGATTTAGGGACAAGTCTGGCATTTTAATTTGCAAATGTCTCACCTGATGGATGTGGTGCAGCTGGTACGTGGGTCCGCGGGGGATGAGGTGGTGCACGTCCTGGTGCAGGCCGAAGGCCAGGGGGGGCTGGATGAGGTGCTGCTGCACCTGCGCGCTGGCCTGGTGCTTCGGGTGCTCCACCAGCACGCGCTGGTCACCTAACTATGGAGCACATCATTACAGTTAGAGATTTAGCGAGTTAGGCTGGTGTCGGATAGGAATACTTACGATCTGCTGGGAGGTAGACGGCAGCACATGATGTTGCACGGGGACAGGGACGTCCACGTGGTTTTGCACCACCGCGACGCGTCGCTGCAGCGTGGGTCTATTCAGAGGGCGACAGGTTAAGAATCCTTATGGTTCCACGTCTCTCGGGACCGTGTCCTCTACGTCAGAACTTACTTCGGCACGAAGGGCTTCGCGTGGCCGGGGGTGAGCGACACCACGGCGTTGAAGCCGTTGGCGTCGTCGGCCGTGTAGCGCACGACGCGCAGGGTGCCGTCGGGGTCCACGACCGAGTAGCTGCCCTGGACGGCGTCGCCCCGCCGCTCCTCGGTCTGGTCCTTGGCGTCGCCCGTCTCCTCGTCGTGGATGCGGTAGGCGAAGTCGTACTGCGGGTTGTGGTCGAAGAAGGGGTCGTCGCGCGCCTCGTCCTGCAGCAGCGCCGCTACGCCCTTGACGTCCTCGCGGACCACTGCGCGGGCCTCGGCGCACCTCCCCGCCAGCGCCACCAGCAGCAGCAACACGGCCTGGACAGTCCGCTCGTTACTGCCAATGCCTCCATATCCCCACCACCACCCCACCGCCTCTCCTTCCCTTTTCTGAGACCGATAACTTTCTGAAATATAATGTTTTTTTTTCTGCAGGGTACCAGGTGAAAGCATTTCAGTGATATAAATGGTTTTACTAACAGAATCAGGATAAAACATATAGTTCGTAAACGTGTTTCATACACATTTTTAAGTTGTAGTTCTCCACAAACCAAATATATTTTTCAAATAACATAAATAAAATGTAATTTATTTTGAACTGTAGGGTTAAACGATACGCCGCCTACCAGACGCCTTAAACTCACTAGTGTTCGTGATTCAGTACGCGTGTGTGTGTAGTTCGGTACCATTTAACAATATCCTTTACTGAGACGCTATCGCGAAGGTCGACCTTGAAAGTTTGGTTAGGTGAACCCACATGTTTCTTACGTTTCTACCTCTAGTTGTATAACACAACGCGATACGCCGTATCAGAGTCACTTTGAATGAACACAGTCCGACCTCACCTGGTTCAAGAGCAGCATCGTCCCTCGGTGTAATCCAGTGCAATGTCAGGGACGCGCCCGTCGCACTCGCTTTTGTACCCTGCGGTGGGCTGACCACTGCAGGCTGGACTCCTGCAGCATTAGGTTGTTTTTTAAAAAGGAAAACGAAAATGAAACTGAAATAAAACAACGAGACAAAGATGCGCTCG